CACACACACACACACACACACACACACACACACACACACACACACACACACACACACACACAACCATCACAATTTCTCTGCTTTCCTACACTCGTCCCTACATTACCACCGTTTATTTTTAAACACTTTATTTTAAATACAATCATTTAAGATTGTACATTTACTTCCAAGTCCCATTTAAGTTTTCTCTCCATTTTTTATGTGAAGTGCTTTGTTTCCAGTATCATTAGGATTTGCATAGAATTCTCGTGTATTTCATGGAAGAGATATTTTCACAACCACTCCCCCTCTTTGAATTTATAATTCTTTTTCTGAAGACACCAAGTCCTTTGTCTCCATGGTTCATCTCATAGTCTGTCTCTTTCAGGACTGGTCCCGTGCACCCTGTGGGTATAATTTCACCTGCTCTTTTGTTCCTGTCAACTGACCATAAATCTAGAGACTTGACTGGTTTGGGTGAGATGATTTGTGGCAAGAATACTTCATAAGCACCAAGTGATGCTTGTCTGTAGTCCCAGCTTCTCAGGAGGTGGAGGAAGAGGATTGTGTAAGCCTAGGGCTGCAAGACCACCCTGAGCTGCAGAGAGATTCCTTCTCCAGGAAAACAAAACACCTTTTATAAATAGTGGTTTGTATTTCCACTTAGAGACATATTAATAACATCACTAATCAACAGCATTAGCTGTATGCATCTTAATAAGGAACTGAAAAGGAGCGCTAGTCTTATGCAATCCTGCTTTTAGTTATTAGCACTTTTTTTTTCTTCAAGACTGGGTTTCTTTGTGTAGTTTTGGTGCCTGTCCTGGATCTCGCTCTGTAGACCAGGTTGGCCTCAAACTCACAGAGATCCACCTGGCTCTGCCTCCTGAGTGCTGGGATTAAAGGTGTGCGCCACCACCGCCCTGCAGCACTTTTTTTTTTTTTTTCATCCTGTGTATATGAATGTAGGGGGCACGGTGGGATGCCTGTACAGGAGTGTGTGTGTGTGCTATAACGTACATGTAGCAGACTGCAGATGCTGTTCATTGTAGCCTACCTCATCCGAGACAGGGTCTCTTACTGCTGCCAAGCTAGAGGGCCCCAGGCCTCCAGGGGTTCTCCTGTCTGCTTCCCATCACACAGTAGGAGCACTAGGACTACAGATGTGTGTTTTCTTGCTCAGCTGTATGTGGGTTCAGGGAATCTGGACTCAGTTCCTCATGCTCGTGTGCTAGCTTTCAACATATAGAGTTACTCTTACGACATTAAATTATCCTGAATTTTGCCAGAACAAACCATTGTAGGATGGTTCCTAAGTCCCTTGGCAGGATTCCTAGTGGACTTTGGTAACTTTCACCCTGACATGACTAGTTAGTTGTTTGTAGCTCATTGCTTTATACAAACAGCAAACCAACGAATTCAAAGCCGCCATGGTTCCTTTCAGTGGGGTGCCATATTGGAAGTGTACTGGGACATAGCGGCCTAGCTGCTGGCTTGGCCCTTGGTCATTGACCCCTTCAGTTGACATTAGGATAACAGGCCTTGAGGTGAGGTGGGTTTAAAGAAAGGTTGTGGATGCAGCCTTGAAGTTTGACAATTGCCATTCTAAAGTTCCATTTTAGCACTGTTAACCCTTAGGGCCTGGTAATTTTGGCCCCTATTCGAACTACTAGGTTAAACAAATAGCATTTATGAGACATTATGTGGTCCATTCTTCCCTCGGGGCCTGGGGGAGATTGGTTCTGAACCAAAGTCTGTGGAACTCAAGTCCTTGATAAAGAATTGCCTAGTGTTTGCGTATAGCCTATGCCCAGCCACCCCTCCTATACATGACGCCATCTCCGGACTACTTGGGGCACCCAGTACCTTGTAAATGCTCTGGAAATGGTCCTTATGGTGGGTTTTCAATCAGGAATGATGCCAAGGAAAAAGTCTATGTATTTAGCACAGGTTTAATTTTTCTCGGCACATCATGTGGAGTCCGTTTGGAGCCATTGAAGCATGCTTGCATATCGAGCGAGCGGCAGCTGTAATTATAATGGCTCGTGTTTTTGAGAGTGAAATAACGTTTCGTGGTTGTTTAGCTCTGATGAAATTGTAGCTGAAATAAAAGGACAAGCTGCGCGGGAGAAGCATCATGTGTCACTGTGCTGTAGCCTCCTTACTTTGCATGTGAAATGCTGGTAATGACACAGTGTGTAAGGAATTGAGCTCACTGTCCAGCCAGGCCTCTTGGCACTGTCTGTCTGTCTGTCTTAGCTTCCTTAAGCTCCACTTCCCTCTGATCTAGGTCGGTAACTAATTCTCTTGTTGCTTCGGGAATGGGGTAAGGTGTATGCTGCCTAGCAGAGTGGCTGTAACTGGTAATGCTCATCACCAGAAAAGCGTCTAAAAGGGGAGACTAGGAAAGAAGCATTGGAAATAAATGTTACACCCATGAACAAAAAGGAAATTGTGTTTCATCTTTTTCAGAGTCCTGCCAAATATCACAAACCCCAGACATCGTGAAGGAGAAAGAAAACAGAGGGATTTTCAGCTTTTTCCAACGCAGTAAGAAAAAGCGAGAGCAAGTAAGCATTTTCATGCAGCGTGTTAAGATGCTTAACAAGTATTTTTTTAAAGTGGTTTTTATTTTGATCATAAACAGGCATTGCCTTTTGATTCTCCATTAGACTGCCAGCGCGCCTGCAACCCCACTAGTGAGCAAGCACCGCCCATCTTTTACGAGGTCCAACACCATTTCCAAACCCTATGTTTCCAACACACTGCCCTCGGACGCACCCAAGAAGAGGCGTGCCCCGCTGCCCCCCATGCCCCCATCCCAGGGCTCTGCGCAAGGCCAGGAGAGGCGAGCTTCGTGCGTGGTGAGATCCACCAGTGTGGACGACACTGATAAGGTTTGCTGTTTCTTTTGTTTTATTTTTCCAAGTTGATGTAGGGAGGTGTCTGTTATTCTCTATCTAACTTGTTCTTTTCCACATAGACTACTGAGAAAGAAAGTTATTAATATGCACTCAGTGGAATAGTTACCGACCAGGTTGGTGGGAAAAGGTCATGCATACTTCTGCCATATCTTGAATAAATGTCAGCTTTAAGGAGCTTCCATCCTCAAGCTAACGCATGATAATATACATTCCGTCTTGCTTTACTTCATCTCAGCCAGGATCTCTACACTGGCTGAGTGTATTAGGAATTAATTGCATATCTTCAACACACACCTTTTAAACAACCACACGGGTCTGTATGTTCCATTCTTGCGTTTCTAACCTTTTGTACCTTCGGAGATTCTCCAGGGGAAATCCTGGTGTCTACTTGATCTATCAATGCTGATTTTTAAAACAAGTCTTTTAATAGACTATACTGCTGACTTACTCATATTGTCTACCCAGAGAAGACGTTCTGCGTAAACCTTCATCTCAATTTACAAAAGAAAGGAATATTTGTTTATTTTAGTATGGGTGTGTGGGGTATGTGTGTGGCATGTGGAGGTTAGAGAACAATATGTGTGTGCATTCTGTCCTTCCAGCATTCCGTCAGCTCCAGGAACTGAACCTGGGTCATCAGGCTTGGTAGAAGGCCCCTACCACCTTACCAGCTAAACCACCTCACCAGAACACCTCAGTTAAAATAAAAAATATTTAATACTAAAGTTTCGCAGGATATATATTTTTGTGAGATCCATTTGTCTAAATGTATCTACACTTCCCTTGCTTTATTCAGGTGGCGCATAAGTGAGATTTAGGTAAACGTGATGGAACGTAACACCATCTATTTTATTGTTTATAGTCAGGTGGAATAATTTCAATGTCATTGAGAGTAAAATGTATTTTGAGTAACATAGACACTGAGTGGTGCGTGCTCCAGTATTGAAGTTGAAGGATTTTTACTCCCCCTGGATGGTTAGTAACTCAGACAGAGAAATGAATTCTTTAAAAACTTAGTATTTTCTTATCTAAGTTAATGCTGTGGCATGAAAATCTCATCGAACAAAACAGAAGGGTAATGGCTTCTCCCCCTGAGAGATTCATTTGCTGACACTACTTGCAGAGTATCCGTGCTGTAGTCAGATGGTGGTTCACAGAACAGGAGATCTTTGTGTTGGGTCATAACTGTGTGTGGGAGTACAATAGTTGGGTGAAAGACTCGGCTCAGATTCCAGAATGTCAAGGAGAAAGGCGTGCTGGGGCCTGAGCAGAACCGGACTGCAGCTGAGCAAGGAAGACAGGACAAGGCTGGTCCTTAAGACCTCCCTTGTTTATAGCCCCTTTCTACGTCTTTATAGGAACAATAGCCTTTTGAAGGTTATTTTGATTTTAATTACCTTAAAACTGAACTACAAGAATGGAAATTTTTATACACTTGTGTAGCTACCAGACTATTCTCTCTTTTATACAGAAGTTACCTCTACCAGCTGTCCTCACTCAAGACACCCCTGTAACTTTCTGTGTGGAGTCTGGATTGGCTGTCTGCCTCTTACAGGCCTGAGTTGCGCTGCCAGCAACCTCATGGAAAGCTGGTGCTTTTGATTCTCACCCTCCACTCTGACTACTTGGTACCCTGTGTTAAGTCTTCATGCAATTTTCTGATTATTTTGTCTTTTGATCTGGACATCTGGGTAGTTCTTTGATGTATTGTTCAACAGGAAACAGAATTATTTGTTTTTCCCGAGAGAAGCTGAAGAACCATTTTTTTGTTTATTCATTACCAAAACCCTTAATGATTAAGCTGGGGTGGTGTTTGTGTGGGTCTACTCATGGACACACAAGAACTCATGCCTTCTCAGGCATCTCAGCACTCACTATTTTAAATTTTATATGACAAATCACCCTTCATTTTGAACTCTTCCTTCATCTTGATAGTCTCCTTATAACTTAGGAGTTTCCTCCCCCCCCCCCTTTAAGTAATACTATTACTTTCTTTATCCATCACCCATTTTCTGTGCTGGCCAAACCTGAATCTATGGTCTTAAGTCCACTTTCTATACTCTTTAAGAAAGGATATTCATTTTGTTGTTGTTGTTGACTCTTTGATTGGATCTCAGGTATATTGGTTTGAATAATGCCCCTCGAAGAGTTGTATTCAGATCCTAATGTAACCAGGGTGCAGATTCTAAGGTTTAGAATCCATAAGTATTTTGTAGGCTCCTGGCTCCTCTCCTTGCCCTCACTGTTCTTGTTTATAAACCCACCCTGTGCTTTCCTACTGTTTCTCCTCATAGTGCCTTCTGGTAATAAGAATCCCACTTCTCTGGAAGCCTGATGCCATTTTGCTTGTCTACATATGGCCCTCTGACTCTCTTTCCTTAAGCCCTGATGCTTGTAAATATGACTTGACTTAGAAATAGAGGCTATGCATATGGATTTCAGTTTGGGGGTGCCACCATCTTGTTTTAAGGTGGGCCCGAATGCAAAGGCTAGGATCCTTATAAGATGATTCACACAGCATGGAGGCAGAAGAGAAGGCTGTGTGCAGCCCCAGGCCAAGCTGGGTGTTCTGCCGTACAGGAAGCCTGGAAGCCACCAGAGACTGCCGCGGCAAGGGTAGGGACCATGCCTCGCCACACGCTCTGATTTCAGACTGTTGGCCTTTGGAATCCTGTTTTAAGCCATTGTGAGTTTTTATAGCATTCCCAAGAAACCGTTGTGCCAACTTTGTAATTCCAATCTTCATATTCTTGCTGTTAAATTTGAATACATGAATGCTTATCATTGTATGGAAATCAGCACATCTAACATGCAGCTCTGTTTTTACCCTGTATTCAAAGTTCAGAATCATCTTGGTGTGTGTTTTATAGTTTTTATGTCTACTAGAGACCAGGATTTCATTTCTCTCCCATTCTTTTTGCTCATATCATTTCCAGAGAAATCCAGAGTAGATGCCAGAAGAGAATGTGCTTAACCTATCTTCATCTTGCTCTCTGTGTCCCACTGCCGCATTTATGTTTCTTATTTACCGTTTCCCAGGTTAGAAACTGTATAGACGATCAGTTTTTAGGTCTTAAGTTCATCTATTGACTGGTTACAATTTTCCTTTTTTTTTTTTTTTTTTTTTTTTTGAGATAGGGTTTCTCTGTGTAGTTTTGGTGCCTTTCCTGGAAGTCACTTTGTAGCCCAGGATGGCCTCGAACTCACAGAGATCCACCTGGCTCTACCTCCCGAGTGCTGGGATTAAAGGAGTGCACCACCACCGCCCAGCTACAGTTTTCCTTTTAAACCTCCGTTCCTTATGAATTTCAGGATACTCTGAACTCTAAGCAGGGTATTTGAGTCATTGTTGCTCCTGTGAAGTCTTGCTTCTCATCCTTTCAGAAGGGAATGATGCTGCCTGTCTTCTGTATTCTCACTTCTCCACAGAGTTGATTCCTGATGAAGAATGGTCTAAAGAGAATAATCATTGCTTTCTCTGAATTTGTCTTGTGGGTTTTAATTTGTGTGTGCCTATAGGTAGGATACTTATAATTAACTCTTGAGTTGATATTGTTTATATTCAAATATTCATGAAGTTCAGTGGAACATATCTGTTTATTAATGAATGTTACTTATTTTGTTGTTACTATTTTAAATTTTAAATAAAAACTATAAACTGTAATGAAATATTATATACATTTACTTGAACAATTTGGTTGAAATTTTAACAAATGTTATTTTTTAAGTCACTGAAAGTAATAGCAATGAAATATGAAAACATCACAGAAAGGAAAAAAAATATGTATGACCAAAGCTGCTATTGCTTGTGATGCAGCATAAACCACAAGGGTGTGCTGTTTAACAGAAGTACAGCATTCTAAATTTTCCATGTTTACCCCCAAAGCATCTTAAGAAAGAAAAAGAAAATGTTGAAATGGTTACATTACGTTATAAATTCTTAATTTTGTTTGGTAAAGTGACAGGAATGTAAAATAGAAAGATAGATATTAGTAATGCGTGAAAAATACTTATGACAAACAATGCTTTCATTTGCACCTTTTGGTTCATTTTGGCCCCCTTTTAAGTAGTCAGTGGACTGTCTAGTGGTCACCTTTGTTAGTCAATGCTTTCGCTAAATATATGTGTTTGAAAAAAAAGTATTAACCACATCTCTTCTACTGTTGGCTTTCCATGTTTAATAATTTGCCTCATTGTTACGGGACATTTCTCAGCACTGGCAAATTGAGGTACTTGGAGAGTGAGTCTGGAACGTAAACTGGAATTATTCACATAGCTGGCTGTTGATCTGCAATCTAATCTTGACAGCTGCTTGTGCTCTTCCCCAAAGTGCTCATTAAAGATCCAAGTTAACAAAGCCCTCGGTCCTGACCTTGGTGGAATTTCTTCTGCATTGAACATTCCAGCTAAAGAATAAGTCCTCCTGAAACTCCGTTGAAGTCAGTGCTAGAATGTCTTTTTTCATGTTCATAAATGTTTCTATCCACTTGGGCATGATTTTCAGCCCCATGTCACTTTCTCTATAAAGGTGAATATATTACATTCTATGAAAATGTTCATTTCCAAATGAATTTCCAATTGGAAATTTTCTAGCAGTTTTTCCTGGAACTTTCTGAATGTTTTGTTAAGCAGGGGTTTTTTTTTTTTCCCTAGTGATTTGAAATGCCATTCGTGTTATGAGGTATATGGTATTCAGCCTTTGTGGTTATATGTATGAACAGTAATACTGTATTCCTATATGAAATGTATATAACCATATACAGTCAGATTGCCAAACACAATGGCATTGACTTAAAGTAATACAGAATTTTGGAATTAAAGCTAAGTGGAGGAATCCGATTCCTACACCCCATTTACTGTCTGTTGGAAACACGTTTAACAAAACCAGTAGGCAGATGGTGCCTTGTCTCTTAGGCCAGTTAACCTCTTGGGCTTCTTTATGTTTCAAGTGGAGGTAGAGGGCTTGAAAAGAA